GTAATACATACAATCAAAATATGTGCCTTTATCTTTGAAGGGGATGTTTTTGTAGTAATAATCAATTTTATGGATGCCACGGCACTCTACCCAAGGCAACGGAGTGAGACTCTGTCTCAAAAAAAAAAAAAAATCCTCTTTAGTTGGTGTCTTAATCCATTTTGTGTTGCCATAACTGAGTACCACACAGACTGGGCAATTTATAATGATCTGAAACTTATTGGCTCACAATAATAAGTTCAATATCAAGGTGCCAATATCTGGCCTTCTTGGAGAGCCCTCATGGCCTAATGTCCTCTGAAAGGTCCTACTTCTTAATACTGTTACAATGGCAATTAAATTTCAAAATGAGTTTTAGAGGGAACAAACATTCAAACCATAGCAGTTGGTGAAATAATTAAGGAAAACGGGTACTTTAAAATAACTTTTCTATTTTTAACATTGTAGATGTTTTCTAAAATTCGGTAACAAATGAAGAATTAAGTTAAAGTACCATTGACATCTGAGGATACTGTCCTGTTAACATTGTAGTATACTTCATTATGGTTGGGTGTGTGTGCTTTATTTTCCCACAAATTTGGAGTAAAATAGGTTTTTTTCCTCCATCCTTTTCCCCCAGCGTTATATCATGGGCATTTCCCATGCCACTGAATTTTCAAAACTGTTTAATGGCTGCCTATGGTATATCTCTTTAATGAATAAGCCATAATTTAACTATTTCCCAATTATTGAACATTCAGGTTCACGTATTTCCTATCATAAACAGCACTGCAGTGAACATATGTGAATCTTTGTGTATATCTCCGATTAATTATCCAGGAAAAAGTATCAAAATGTGGTAATGTGGCATACTCATATAATAGAGGTAATTCTAAAACAAATGGGTTTTTGGTTAAAATATTTTACGTTATTTTTTTACTTTTGCCTGCCAAGCAGCCTTTAAACTCCATTTGATAGAGGTTTTATGTAACTTGTCCTAAAACTTTTTCTTCCAGCATTCGAGTTTCTACCTGGAACAGACTGAACTACCTAAAGAATGGTGTCCTCAAGTCTGCCTTAAAATCTGCCATGGCCCATGACCCCATCTCCCCCGTGCTCGCTGAGCCTCACCTGGATGCGGTGGACCAGCGGCTCCTGAGTGTCCTGGCCACTGTGAAGCAGTGCACTGACCAGTTTGGGATGGACACTGTGCTGGTGGAAGACAGGATGCCTCTCTCCCACTTATAATTCTCAACATAAAATAAGTGAAACTTCTTTTTACAAAGATAAACAGCACAACAATTCCAGGTGGTATGAGATGGATTGGAAATGGCCACCAGCAAGTTCTGGTGATAGGGAACAGGGTGGCCTCAGATGTTTTTGGTGTTTTTGGTAGTAGATGCTGATGCAAGACTGCAAGTTTCTGAGCCCAGAGATGTACCTGCTGAGTCCTATGACCTCCCTGGCAGTTGCTCATCCTAGTAGCGGACATAGTAGTTAGTCTTTATTCCGATGCCAAAGGACAAACAGGTGTGACATTTGGATAGGTGAATGGGAAGGTTGGTTCTGGAGTGTATGTTTGGAGTTGAATCTTGCGGTCCTTTCTCCACATCTGTGGACTTTGTGGAAACACGTTTTAATCTCTTATTTCATTTTTTTTTCTCCCACCAGTACTAGTCAAATCAGAAAGCTTGCTGCCTCCTACACTACAGCGTGACAGCAAATAACACCTTGTGTTCCATTAAGCCAAAATAGCATGCTCTGCTGAAGGGGATATGGTTCTAAGAATCAGAGGGAAAGGCGGAAGCAGGAAGATGTTCAGGCCTTCAAACAGTTGGCTAATACTGTTTTGTTGGTTTTAGAGGAGAAAAGAAGAGAGAGACCCACTTGGTGGAACCAGAATCAGGGAGAGATTGAATTAGTGCAAACAGATTCCCCTATATTTGGCTTCTTAAAGTAGGTAAAAAGCAAACATGACTTTGTACCTAAGTAAAATCTGCATTTTCACAGTCGTGTCCAGATTAATCAAAAATTTGTCTCTAGAGAAAATACTTTTACAACCCAAGCATGATTCTTTTATCTAATATTTTACTCAAAGCAGGCAAGTCCTTTCTATATTGACAGAGTTAACTGGAAATAATACTTTGAATGACAGGTTCCCTGTAAGCTCTGCCATCCTCATTTCCCTTCTGAAATGAATTTCCACCCCTGCCTTTAAGGTATCTGGTCACTGGAGCTGCTGTTCTCAAGAAATTGGCCACCCTGTTTGCACCTTTCTTGTAAGGAAAGGCTACTGACTCCTACAAATGAGAGTGTACACCCTTGAGGTGGCAGGACTTACCTTGCAGCTGGGCCATGTAGAAGACTGTAAACAAAGACTAAGCCTTCTGAGCCTTGACATTCAGGAGGTTACCAGAAAGAACTTTAAGATTTTGATTTATGTCAAATCCTTATTTTCATATTTAGTCTTATTTGGAGTTCTGAAGCCATCATGTACTATTATGCCCATCTGCTCTTAGCATTCCCAAATTTCAGGTTGCTAAAACACAGTTTTTGTTCTGTGTTCTGACCAGTTGTAGTAAAATACAGGGCCAGAGGAGGACAGGCCTGGTTTGCCTACTCCCCATGAACTACCCATCTTGTCGAGGAACTGTTCTAGTTTTGCATTTCTGCCAGATACTGATATTTAAACAGTGTGGTTGAACAAATTTAATGCCACCCATTGGAGACTAGTTTTAGGCAACCACTCTTAAAAAATCAGGTTTAGAATTTATTCCCCAACTTTTTCACATTGAAAGATAATTGAGTAACCCATAACTACTATAAAATAGCATGAAATTAGGAATTTTTTTAATATACATTTGAGATGAACACAATAGTAGGCTGAGCTTAAAAAAGATATTGAATTTAAGAAGATAGATATTAAAAATGCTAAATTAGGGTTAACAAAAGAAGGCATTGATTTCTTTTTTTTTAAACACTTCAAATGATTGAGATTTCAATTTTAGGGCTACTTGCTATGTGTGTCCAGAGAAATTCATAATTGGTCATCATGTTTGTGCCTTTCTTATGAGAAAAGGCAGCTCTTTTTTATAGATGAGAGTGTACACTGTACAGATGGCCAGACTTATTTGTGATTTGGGCCATGCAAAAGACTTGGAAATAAAGATTTTTAAGCCTCTGGGCCTTGTAGTTAAGGAGGTTACCAGGAAGAGCCTTAAGATTTTGGAGGCAGGAGATAGTAGGAAGGATGTCAGCTCTCTTACTTGAGAGAACACAAGTAAATATGGATTTGTGTTCTTTAAAACACATGATGCCTTTAGTATGCCACACTGTCATGAATAAGAACTGTTCTCAAACTGGGATCTTCATTCACAATGTTGAAGGCCAAAAATTCTGCTAAGGAAAAGCATAGGAGGGAATGCTGCTTTAAAAATGGTTTCATCCTTTTCATCAAAGCATTCGCAGAAAATGTATTATTTCATTCTCTTCCCTATTTTTAAACTCATTGATATTAAAAGATTTTTTGATCCACAGCGGTTAAAGTTAGAATTAAGCTAACATAGTGGTGTGGGCATGGCACTAAGAAAAAGGAAAAGCGTGTTTAGGCAGATCTTGGAGAAAACCAACAATAAGCTTACAGCCCTAAAACTCAGAAACACTAAATTCTTTTTGAAAAATAAGGTGGATTTCTTTTTAAAAAAATTTTGGAACACTGTTCTCTTTATAGTTTATTTATTAGATTCTAAGGCTGTTGCAGTCAAGTCATGGGAGGGGTTTTGGTAGCTCTAAGTTAGGTGTGCCACCCAAACATCCAAAAGTAGATGTGGATACACTTTTATATTATAAACTAATTGCCATTTCCTGCCCTCCTCTCACTTCTTAAAAATGTTCATTACAAAATTTGAAGTTTAGAAGTTTCTAGAACTGTTCTTTAATATGAGACTGTATTGTGGGTTTGGGAAGGGGTATAAATAATCTTGTGTGCAAAACAAATTGGATCTGATTTGCTCAGAGTATTGTTCAATAATGTATTATTAATGACACATTTCTCCATGTTTGCACTCAGGGTTAATATATCAAATGAAATTTAAGAAGGAAATTAAAGAATTCAGATTTCATTTCATTTTGGGAAAGATGAATCCTTTACATGGCATTGTCTTTCAAAGACATTTATCTTTTCCTTTATTTAAAAAAAAAAAA